TGGTGTTCAGCCTCAAAGGTGCGACTTTCTTCTGTATGTTATATTTTAGTTTAGTTATTAAATTATTATCTCAACCCAGAAATTTTAATACTTTGTTTTCCCTTTCTCCTCCCCATCCTATGAGCGAGTGGCTGCGTGGTGGTCAGTTGCTGGTGAGGGTTAAACCATGACACCGCCCCTCACTGGCCCAGCATGGGATGGTATGAGAAAAACAACAGAGCATTGTGGGGCTTCTGGATTTTTTTAAATATTAAAAACCCACACATATGTTTTGCTTCTCTATTTCCAACACTCTACAAACAAATCAAGTTTGCCCTCGTCTTTTTTACCAGCATTTGGAAAAGCCATCTTGGAGGCACTGAAATATTTGATGACTATTTTAATGTTGTTAAGAAGCATTGGAAACAGCAAGATGAAATAACTGAGGGTGTTAGGAGTATAAAGTATAATTTGCACATTGGATAATTTTGTATTATTTTCCACTGGCTGAAGTCTGTTGTCTTTTATCTTTGTTAAAAAAAAATAAATCAGAGTTCTGCTAAATTCTATAACGTGTTATCTCAGAGATAAGACATTAATATAGATCAAATTTTTCCACAAATATTTTATTCCCTCAACAATTTTTCAGTATTTCCTCACGGACTTAACATGGTACACTGAACACAGTATTAAATGGTATGGAAAGGATATCATCTTGTCTTATATATGATAAAAGTCAAATACAATGCTGACTAGAAGATCTTGGAAGCTCTTACATGAGTTTTAAGAAAAGCTACACATCAATATTAAACGTTTGCTGTAACTTGTTTTAAGCCATTAACAATCACTAGGTAGTGAGGAAAAGAAAAACAAGCTGTTAGTGACTCAAAATATACAAAGAAATAGTAATAAACATACCTGAGAGTGGCTGTAGTAATTAATGTGGTTTAGACTGGTTTCTTCACTAGAAATCATGTGAAAAAAAATACCTTTAACAGATATTTTTACTAACAAGTCACACCCTGCTAATTACTGTCAGTACTTCTATCACAGAAGATGGATTCTGATTCTGCTAATATTTACTTAAGCATTTCCCTTCCCTGTTGTGATAAGTCTTATTTTTCAGAGGCAAGGGCATATGCCCAAGCATCTGCAGGATCAGGCATGATAGCAGAAAGGCAGCAGTGGAAACCCCAGAAGCCTGCTCCTCAGATCCCAAATATTCAGGCAGTGGAAGATTCAGAGAAAACTCCCCTAAATCCCAGCCTGTTGGCCTATCCTGAAAACTGCAGATGTTTCAGAGGATGTTGGAGAAATGTATCTGGCTCTAAGGAACAGTTCTGCCTTATTCCAAGTAATGGTGAAGATTTTAGTTAGACATCTAACCTGCAGCACAACCCATTTAACCCCAGAGAGATGCTGACTGACAGGCAGAGCTGAAGCAGCAGGATAACTCTTCTCATCTAATGCTGACTCTCAAAAGGCCACAAAACTTTAATCAATTTGTTCACAGGGACGTGCATAGAGAGAGAAAACTACTGTTCCCTGTTAGGATTCAGGAAGCCAGCTAAGACACAGCCTTCTGAGGCCCAAAGAGGTTGTGGATGCCCCCTCCCTGGAGGTGTTCAAGGCCAGGCTGGATGAGGTCTTGAGAAACCTAGTCTAGTTGAGAGGCATCTATGTCAGGGTTGGATTAGATGGTCTCTAGGGTCCCTTCCAACCTAAGCCTTTCTATGATTCTGACAGCAGCAACTTGACCCCTACAGTCACTATATACAGTCCATTTAATGAACATAGGTTAGAGTCCATTTTTAAAACTAGTCCCTTGGCACAGTAGTCACATTTTTTAAGTCATTTTGTGACTTCAAATGAAATAAGTAAGATTTGTTTTCCTCATGAAGATTCCCTCGGTGTTAAATTTCATTAAATAACTTTAGGAGTACTTTTCTTCCTGGAAAATGATGAGTCTATACTATAACAAACCCTCAAGATGCTGAAATTCAAAGAAAGTTTACATTTACCCGTCATGTCCAAAAGACACGCAGTGCATGAGGATGATGTGACAGTATGTCCAAGTTTCCATTTGTCCTGGAAGCCCATGTTTCAGTTGCTGTGGCTGTTTCAAAGGGACTCAAACTTTGTGATTACAGGAAAGGGCAAAGAGGTATTTGACAAAGGAGTCCTGACAACAAATATGGGAATATCTTCCCAACAACTGTGTTCAACTGTGTCCTCAAGCTGTCAAAACAAATGGGACACTATTCCATGAAGGGAAAAATACTTGAGAAGTTCACCTCTGAGTGGTTTTCCATTGTCTTCCAACATACTTTAAGTTACAGAGAGAGCTGAAGCAAAGAGGAAGCATTACTGTATACGACAGGAGGCCTACGTTCAATATTATTACTGCTCGTTTTTGTAGTAAATGTCTAGGAAGGGAAGAGAGATGGTTCTTCTTTCATTAAATGATGCATCACTATCAGACAGCTATAGAAAACATCAAAGAGCATCAAAAGCAAGACTCTTCTCCCACAGTCAGCAGTTATTCTTATGGTAGAGAGGAAACCTGTGCTCTCTGGAAGGTTCATAGATTTATGTATCTCCCAGAAAGATGGGACCACTAGGATATTGGAATATAACCCTAGAGACTCTTGCATGGCCATCAAGACCTTGTGCTTCTTCATAGATCCTTTTCCGTCAGCCTAAGAAATTCCTTATGTGAAAACTCAAAGAGCTAATTCTTTCTGTCATGACATACAAAATACACTTGTTAATTAACTACTAGCACAGAATTAGGTTCCTCCTCACCACTTGATCCTATTAAACTCCAACCCCACTGCAGGCGAAAGCAACTAGCAACTCCTTGACCCCAAGCAGATGTGATTCTCTTTCTTGGCAACACCTCTATTTGCCAAACAATACACCATTTTTCACAGTTGGCTTTCAACATGGGGGCAGAAAAAACAGACTGCATACTGAACTGCAAGCCACCTACAAACACTCTAGCTGGCAAGACTGAAGGCACTAGCTATTCATGGGAAGTCTCCAATTTTCAGAGGAGCTGATGGTGCCAGAAAATATATGCTTTTTCCTTGTAAGGCTGATCTTATTCAATATTCAAATAATATTTACCTTCAGAAGAACTCACAAGTGAAGAAAAAATCTTGAGATGGAAAAAAATGAAAAATGAGAGAACAGAAGCCATTCAGCCAAAAGCTCAAGGATGTTGAGCAAATGGAGCTAATTCAGAAGAAGATAAAGTTCAGCGTGTTGAAAATAGAGAGTGTGCAGCCTACTTTGGCCTGCAAATGGTTAACTCATTTTATCATTCAGGACTATTCTTGGACTTTTCATCAATGCTCCATTCCCACATGACATCATCATCACATGTTCGATCACCTCTGGGTGGCAAAGAGAGCCACGCTACTCTCAGAGACAAGTGCTTGGATCCATTTACTCGTGCCTCTCATGCCTCTGCCACTCTTGGACAGGTTACAGTAGTAAGGACACAAGGGCGTGAAGCTGGTCAATGTACATGACATCCTTGTACACTTCTTCATCACAGAAGTAGTAGCAGATGCCACATCTCTCCTCTACCTTCTGTATTGCCTTCCCACAAAATGCTCTACCCAATGTAAGGGTCTAGTCCATAGTTTCAGAGCCTACTCCAAGGACATCTTCTGTAAACACAGAGAAAATTCTACCGAGGACAGTTCTGTTCAACACACCATTCTGTCTCACGTAACAAAGTTTACATTAAAGGATGAAGTGTGCTGCAGTGTAGAAGTGGGCAGTGGTCCACTGGAGGTCCAGAAACAACTCCTTCCCTCCACACCCTCAGGCACCATTGCAATCTACATTAACAGCAAGAGGTTTTTCTTTAACCTTTCCTTTTTTTAACTTGTATGTAGAGACATAGCCAACTGTTAACAATAATGATTGAAAAACCCCTAAAACAACAAAACCACACACACTCACCAAACAAGACTTCTCACTTTGTGTAGCACTCACACAGCAGAAGAGATTAGAAAAATGAAATGAGCAGCAGTGATAAATGTGAAATTGTGTTTCCCCTTACACTGGAAGGTACACTCATGGTACAGTGATGAGCACAGCCACAAACTCTCAAAGCACAGCAGAAATTACTTCAAAGGGAAGGGAAGAAAAAAAAAAAAAAAAAAAAGAGCAGGGGGAACCCCAAAACCTACACATTTCAAGTAGAACCACAGCCTGAAAAAACCCAGAGCAAACATTTCTGACTGGTCGAGGCACAAACCCCAGAAACCTCACTTAAGCTAACAGTGATTTAATGCATCTCCTCCCTCATAGTCTTGCAGATGCCTAAAATGAACAGTACTACAGCTATAATGTGACTGCATTAATGCAATTTGCTGCCTGATTCCTGCATAACCAAATTGTTTCATCTGCCACGTAGCATTCTTTTGCTTCTCAGTCCAGGCACTGGCACATAAGCTTTCCTGAAAGACAGTTAGGCCCCATGAAAAGTAACCTTACCATATAGAAAGGAGGAACTCTGTGATAGTCCCAAAAGTGACCCTTCTGTATTAAGACAGGGATGCTTTGGAGAAGAAGGGCAGGGGAAGAAAAAGATGCTAATCTCACTCTGTAAGGAAAGGGCTGTAGTTTCAGAATCCGTAAAATCCTTTGTCCCTTTCATCAACACTACATTAACTTCACATTTGTGGCCTTCACAGTTTCTATTTGTGAAACAGGTTCTCTAATCTGGAAAGTTCCCATCGTGGTAAGGAAGCAGCACTCACTCTTCTCTCATTCATCTCGTCACACCTTAAACCATTTCATTGGCCTAAAAGCCTGCCCAGAATTAGACAAGGCCAAATGCTTAGATTCTGTAAGTGATCTCAGCTCCAAGTTCATGGAGCTCAGTTCATTCAGCTGAGTTTCTGGCCTGCTCACTGCACTGTGTCCTGTCAGGAGTCGTATCATTTTCCCCCTGAGTGAGCTCATCATAGACAAGCAGCTCTGCACTGAGGAGCAGTACTTACTGCAGTTCTCTGCCTTTTTATTTCGATGGATCACTGTCTTTTGACTGGGTGTGCTGAAGAGGCTGGTCCAGTTGACAGTGTGGTAGTAGCACAAATTGGTGTTGTCTGTTATGTAGATGTTGCCAGCACTGATTTGCTTCAAGGATTGAAACTGCAGTGAGGTAATGCCTTGTTGCTTTAGGATGAGTAACGAAAGGCCACTGTGATGAAAACAAAAGTAAGAGAGAACAGAAGTTAGCTTCAGAAGGTGGTACTTATTAGAACCGGTTGGGAATTTCCCACTAGAATTAGCACATAACGTAACAATGATCTTTCCAACAAAACTGAAATTTGGTCAGAAAAAATTATTTTGGGGTGACACAAGTACTTTACTAGACAAGATCCAGTTCTATTACCTAGAAAATTGAGAATCCTGTAAGAATTGTGATACCAGAAGCTGTGATGCTTGCAGTGCACGGCCAAGTGGGCCAGTAGAACGTCCAACTAGACCCATTTCACCCATTAACATAGATTTTTGAGACAAAGTGCTGTTGAGAAAACTGAATAAAATCCAGATTTTTTTTTTCAACAGAATTAATGCTGCACCAGTTTATATGCTACAGAGAAACTGACAAAGTCACACAAAATGTATTAACGTCTTCTGTCAGGCATCAAGTTAATGTCATTTATAGTAATACAGGAAGAAATTGTTATTTTCAAAGAAATTTTTCCAGCTCGCTTTCTACATTTCATTTTTCTTTTGCTGTTATTTGTGGTTATCGCCTTTCTTCATCAAAGGAACAGTAAATGACTGTCTGTGCAACACGGAAATGACTGCAGATATTTTATGACTGAAGATTAGCGAAGACAATATCCAGTTTCTGGGTATCCTTTAAGTTATTGTATTTTAATGATTATAATTGTTTTCCAGCTGTTCCAAATAAAAAATTGCTGCTTGCAAACAGAATGCTGGGTTGTAATTCAAGCTCAAGGTTTCACTGCTATTCATATTCTGCCTGGGTTGCTGCTTAAGATGCCGGCAGAATCCCACAACCAATTTACTCATTTGCACAACGGGAAACTGGGGGTTGCTGAACGCGTCATTCAGGCACCTTCTTGTGCTTCCCCCATTATTTCTCACCACGTTTTCTTCTCTTCAAACTAAGTCCTCCATGGGAGTTTTCATATGGCAATCTCTCTGGTAAAACTGGCACTGCAGAGCTAATGTACACCCCACCTGCAAGGTAGCTCAGCCGTTCCACTGCTCTTCCACATATTTGGCTTTCACCACTTCTTAAGACCACATCATTCTTTGGGCAAATGAGCCTGCACTTCCAATCACAATCACATAAACTTCCTGAAAATAGGGCTAAGCTCTACTATTAATGTCTTTTAAGTTATGTTTCACATTCAGAAAGTATTTTAAACCATAAATTGTACTTCCCGTACAATAAGGTAAGAGCTACAGCAATGAACCAAGACACCTTTGTTTTTGTTTTTAGATCATCGTGTTCAAAAGGTATCACCTGTTACAAACAACAGATTAGCAAAGATACTGTTAGTGAATACCTTGGTAACAGAGAAAAAGATAGCAATTTCTGATGCCCTTCCCAAAGGATGTTGTATTCTGTGCTACTGAACAAAGAATCATTGAATACTAATAAAACCCGATTCCATCCACAGAGGAATTACATTACCTGTAGAGAGCTCGTCCACCGATAGTAACCAAGTTAGAAAACACCCTGAAATCTGTCATATTCTCAGGCCATGACTGTATATTCAAATATCCTGAAGGAGAAAAAGGCAAGCACATGAACGTCAATGATTTCAGCCATAAAGACTGCTTTATCACATACCTGAGTTAGGACAGGCTTAGCCTATGAATGAAAGACAGAGCTCGTTTGAGAAAAAGAAATAAATAGGTTGTGAGTGCTGCAGACCAATGCCTATAAATTCATCAGGCTGCCCACCACTCTCTCCTCCAAGAAAGCAAGGGAGGACTTGTCACAGCAGCATTACATCCATTTTCAACAGCCACAGAGAGGGTGACCCTAAAACAGAGGCTGGAATCCTGCAAGGCCTCCCAGCCTTTTCTAAACAGCAGCAGTAGGAAAAAAAAAAAAAAAAAAAAAAAGCCCCAATTAAGAACATTCAGTTTTAAAATGTGCTAGAGACTCAGGACAGGAGTTGAGAGATCTGTCATGATTCATTAAAAGATGACAAGACTTTCCTAAAACAAACAACTTGTGCTCATTTCTGAGTGTGTATGTGAGGACTTCCCATGACCAGAGAACATTCCTTGCCCAAGCACATGGGCTATTTATTTTGTGCTCCACAGACACCTACAGAGCACGGTTCTCCAGGATTTTCATTCAGTACTGGACTGCACTGCAGTACAGCTTTAAGCACAGTGGTAACTCCACTTAAGTAGTAGAGACTGTCAATTAGACAGGAGACAGTGTGCTTAAGAATGGCAAATAATAGACACTCAGATGCCAGATTATCTTTGACATTAATTAGGGAGAGAGTTAGAGCTTACTTTCATTTTTCAATACCACTGGCTTGCTGAAATGCACAACTTTTGAGAGATGAAGCACGTGGGAGAGAACTCATTTCAAATGCCAAACATTTGTTGAGCTCCATTCAGCTACAATCATGCTGTAGTGTCCAAGGATTTCTGTGCTTGAACTGGGCATTGTGCATGAAATAGGGAAATTAAAATAAAATCATTCTAGCTATACATAAGCAGCAATCGACTGAGAACTCAGTGCTGCAGTATCTTCTTCCCTGCCCTCAAAGGTAGCTGGAAAAAGGATGAAACACCAAGAAGTAAAATGCAAGACAACCAAGTACTGAGTTCTAGCTATCTGACCCCACTGAAGAGTCACAGGAGATGGGAGGGACTGCATAAAATGCATAACTCCCTATGCATTTTATGTCTGTCTTTAAATTATAGAAGCTAATTTCCAGCAGCATCTGCTGATAGAGCAAGAGAAGTAGCTGCAACACTATGTTGGCTTGTCTGTTTTTTTCCAAGGCATATTTCAAATTATTTCATGTGAAGACCAAGACCTCCCACCCATTCAACAGTAAGGTCTTGGTCCTGTGTACCCCAAATATAATGAGTGTTCTGTATTCATGAGCAAAGGACAACGTGCTTGTGAACATGAAATCACACCAAAGTTGTTGTATTAAACTTTTACAAAATTTATAGTGTGGTGAGTTTAAAGAAAAAGAGCACTTTGTGTTCTTCAGAAGCCCGAACAAATGACAACCATAAATACAAAATAAGAAGTTCGGATTATAGGAAATCAGAATTGCGTTACCTGTTATCTCTCTCACTGTTTGGAAGATATTTAATTTCTCCGGATTGATTGCAGCGATTGTGTGATATGGGTCCCTGAAAGATGAAAAGGACAAAATGTGATACTCTGAACTGAAAGAAAGATCAGGATCTCAAAGCTATACCATATAGAAAGCAGTATTCAGGAGCTCAACTCTTTGCTTTTAGGCAGCATGTGGTCTAGATTTCTTCAGAATGTTTCAAATTTCTTCAGACTGTGGTTCCTGCAGAAGCTACATCAAACTTCTCCCAAGTCATTTTGAAGGAAAATAATGCTGCTTAGAATCTTTAGAACCTCAAACTACTGATGTTTTAATGTGCTCAAATGTTTGTGCTCATGGAAAATTAAGGAATTCTTAACAATCACGGGTGCATGGGTGACTTTTCTAAAGGAAAGATGAATTTTCAGGAATACTAGCTCAAATGGTACAGTTGCAATCCTGTGCTACCAGGAATAACAAAACCACTACCACAAAGAGTGCCAAGCTACATGAAAAACAAAACTAAGAACCTGACAGCAGTTCCTGAGACACGGAATTCAAAGGGTACACTTTTCAGGTGTTGAACAGGGAACATTAAAAAGCACAGATCCCTGCCAAGCAAGTCTGTCACCTGAGAAATGAAACAAAATAATCCCCTCCCAAACATTAAAATCTCCAAGTTAGATATACTATGGTATAAAAAGATGAAGCTTACTGTGATTTTGAGAGTGCCAGCATTTTGTAAATACTCCCCCCTCTTAATTTTAAAGGAGTAAAAACTCTCCAACTATTTAAGAAGCCAACTAGATATCCAACTCAAACAAACAAACAAAAATCCTTCTGTAATGCCATGTTATGCTATTTTTGTAGGTTTTCTGAGGGTAGGAAACATCTTCAGTAAATCTGGAGTGTGCATTTCTACCTCTCCTCCTACTTTCCAAAAGATATTCTTGTAACTGGAACACTGAGGTATTCAATTAGGCTATCTTTGGGGACAGGCCTCACAAGTATGTGGTGACAGAATGATGGGGTCGCTTCTAACCATCCTGGAGTTGACTTCAGGTTAGCAGCAACAAAATGAGTTCTTGAACCATAACATAAAGCCCAATGGACCACAGAAGCATCATATACACTTAATTTTAAGAGTGTTGGGCTCTCTGAAAAACTAGGTAACAAGTTTGGACAACTTAACAGAAACAAAGCTCTTTGCTTTCAAAATGCCTTACTATCAAAAAGGAGAACCCCTGCCTGTAATGAACATGAGATTGCTGAATTTCACCCCCAAATCCTAAGATAAAGTAGTCTTTCAGGATACAAAAAACATTTAAACCCCATAAACAGCGAAATGTCTGATGTTTTATCACCGTATAAAACCGTAGAATAATGCAGTCAGGTACCATTCTTTAGCAGAGACAGGATTTTTCAGTAGAACAGGTACAGCTGAATTATACAGCTCCAAGAACGAGAGTTTCAGCCCATTGTGAAACTGAAGGTGGACAACTAAAGGGAAGATTAAAAGCTGGTCAGCACTGAGGGCTTGTTGCTCCTGCTGCAAGTTGGGGAGGGGGAGAAGGAGGCAGCATCTGCTGCTAACTGGGGCAGTCCATCCGTAAACTACAGCTCTCCTTGGTACATCCTACCCTCTCACAGGCAGCAATGCAAGCAAAAGGCAGCTTGGATTTTTAGCACCTCAGGCAAAAGAAAGCAGTAGAGGGAAGGCTGCATCTGACCTATACAGGTCCCACCCATTTTCCAACCTATGTGCTTCCTGTCTCTGTCTCAGGCAGCAGGTAAGCCTCCTAATGAAGATCACTTTGTCCATACACTTCAGCAGAGCACTACCTGAGAAGAGTAAATTGAACAAGGTTGGTTTTGGTCTCTTTAATCTAGACAGATTTTGTAAGGAGGCTCATCTTGTAACTTTGTAGCTAACAACTTTTGCAACAAAAACAGTTCCAATACTCAAAATTACCATTTATGTAACACACTGGAACAATCCACACAGGAAGGCTCATGTGCTCTAGCTGCTGGTCTTGCACATATTAGTGTTATTTTCTGTCCCCCAGGACTGAACAGATTCACATCCAGCCTCTCGGTTGGTCGTTTGGCCAGACCAGAAAACGGGATGGCCTGAGCACTGACTCCTGTGTGATGTTCTCCAGGGCTTCAGAAAGTTCGGAGCAGCATTTCCTTAAAGCACTTGAACCCAAGTCCTTCTTCCCCTTTATGCTACATTAACCTTTCACACTGTACTCCCTGCCGGAGAGATGAGAAGACCAGCTACACAGTCAAAGTTCACATTTGCTGGCCTTTTGAGAATCATTGAGCAGTAGGGCCTCACTGAAGTGGATTTTCAACTTTCTCATGGCTGAAGTCATGTAGATGAAGCACTACAACCAAGTACTACTTCAAATCAAGGGAACAGCTTGTTGCTTTCCACCTCACCTACTAGGGAAATTAGAGCTAGGGAGCCTAGTGTCAACCATTTTATTATAATCTAAACATATCTTGAGCTATAGAAAGACTAACAAAAAATTGGCTAGCACCACTCATGACAGAATTGCATTTCAGATCACTCTGCAGACATTTAGCTAATCATTTAGACATTTGCACTACGCCGTAAAGCAGCATACATGGAGTTGGTTTGGGCACTGTATTTAAGATATTAAATCTAGACAATTAGTTGAAAGTGATGTTGAATATTCCAAGGAACCTAAAAAGCAAGTTAAAATTTGAAGCCTATGCAGCAGTAGGAACAACTGAGTACTTTACTTTTTTAATGTACTGCAAAATACCTGCATACTTATTGAAAAAAAAAAAAAGGCAATGCCTTTTTAATCTCCTTTGTGCATTCAGAGGATTTTGCTCATTTTAACAGGTCCAGAAATACTTCAAAGTGTCAGATGTAATTCAGCATGGCTGATTACAAAAATGAAGGCTTAAATTAGTAAGAAGATATAATCATATTTGTGTTTTCTCAGTGACAGAAAGAAGTTGCTTTGGACCTCAGCTGACCATCAAAGCAGAGCACGTTTGTCTTCCCTGGACACATCCCATCCCTGCAGCATTTCCATCACGTTCTCACCTTTGCTTCCACTGCAAACACACAGCACATCAAACTGCAAACAGCACACACTAGCTGTCTGGCTGGTGGCTCTTCCTTTAGAAGAAGACATTGGTGAGACTTTAAAATACTGGTTCTGTACCTCCACATCTTCAAAGACTTATTAAGACATTACTAAGACTTATTCTCTATACAGCCACATTTAAACCAAAACACCAAATTTAAATGCCAGTGAGTTTTGCACATCTCTGCAACTGAAACTTGAATCTATACTTAACAAGTGATGGACAACAGGGGAGCTTTTTTGTACGTGTATGCAGCGACAGCCCCCAAGCTGTGACAATCTCTGCTCGAGGAGACACTCTCTCTGCATGTTCTACACATTAAACTGTTGGCCGTACAAAATTTCAAACTAAGGGAAGGGAACATCCCTTTCTCCCTTCTATTCTCTCATCAGGCCCTGTTGTAAGCCAGTACCAAGGACCTCATAAAGGAACCAAAGATCACAGTTGCCTTTTCTCTTTCTAGTGCAGTCTACTTCATCCTTCCTTTTCCTAGAGGTTGAATGCTAAGAATCAAGGTAACAGTCTCCATCATAATGCAAGGCAGAAAACTCATTTATCCTGGATCTGTTGTTCCGTAAAAAGAGCCTGTGGGGACACAACTTGTTTCAGCTGGCGACGTGACACAACATCTTAACATTTTGTCACTTACCCATGAATCCCAGTTACGAGGAAGATAAGGTTGCCATTGATCTTGGTGCAGTTTATGAACTTGTCAATGTTGCTGGAATCCACTGTCTGAGCTGACACCAGACTCCCTGTTCCAATGCCATCACAGGCTGCCAAAACAAGGAGTTTGAGTAAAGAGCTGGGAAAACCAATTACTGAGTCAGAGCATGTCGGCCTTCTAGATACATGTCGTCATTTCTTTCAGAGATGAAGCAGCAGAGAGGTGTTACCTCCCTAACCAGGCTCCTCTAATGGCAACTACCAGCAGTACACCTGAACCCTTCACACACACGTGAAGAACTCTCCTCACAGAGTAAGGCCAAGAGCTTGCTGGGAACACCACATGTGCGTTTTCATATGTAATTATCTAAGTTACCTAAAACTTAAACTATCTGTCAAGCAAAAAAAGCTGTTTACTGCAATTAGGTCAAAGGGCTGGACATTGCCTTCACTTAGAATTCAGAGCATCAGTCTGCTGCCTTGGCAGAAATCTCTTTCAACCAGGTGGAGGGACTATTGTTACAGAGTTTTTTGGCAGCTTCATGGTGAATTCCCTTCCAGATACGGTGTCCACTAAAACTGACACGTGGGCACAGGCCCATGATGGTGCTTTGCTCCTGAGTCCTTCAAGCAGGGAGAAGAAGCTCCCTAGTGGACCTTAGGACAGCAAAGTCATGTAGAGATTTCAGTCTTCTCAACAGCACCAACGCTGAAAAACTTCTAGTCTATGTTTTAGACACTTAGAAAGGAGGTAGGAGATTCTTAAAAAAGAGAATTTTTTAAAAAACAGAGGAAAAAAACAGAAATTTAACATTGTATTGATAAGTATGAGATATCCTCCATCAAAATGAGGGCTTTAGCATGGTCCCCTTTGGAATGACAGAAGAACAGCTCTAAAACACCAACAGGAAATGCCTGCCGTGAAAAAAGAGAGTAATTCTTTCAGATTTCTCTAAAACCAATAGAGAACCCCCTTCATTTTTCCAGTCAAAAGTAATAGGTTTGGTTACATTACCGTCACGACAGAATAAATTTTCATCCAATTGCATATACTTCACACACAGCCCGCATAGCTCAAAGCTCTGTGGCTATCCAAAAATATTCTACAGTGTACTCCTGAAGGGTATTTCATGCCAAAATAACACCCAGCTCTGCTCTACTACAGCACAGACCAGATTCAAGAAACTTTACACTAAACTACTGCCTACCTTTAGGACAAATGTCAGTGCAGGGCTTGCACATCTTAATACCATTTTCTTCAACCTCCATCTTGGAGCTCGGACATGCACGGACACAAGAGCTGGAATCTACCACAAAGTTGTCTGAAGAGAAAAAGAACATATTGGCAGGAAGTGAACCACTGGACTAAGTAATAATGGGACTCATGTTTTTGGACTCTATGTCAATCCATACTATTAAAAACTTCAGCACTTCCACACTGACATTAATTTAACATTCAGTGTTTTCAAAAGCATATAAACAAGCAATTCAGGGCTGCTTTTGGAGGGTTATGAAAATCTATGAATTGTCAGGCCTGATTCCCTTCTCCTCCCCAAATTTGTTTTTCTTATTATTTGTAGTTAAAAAAGTTACAGTAATTGGAGGGAAATAAACCAAGATGCTCTGCCTTGTCTCTTTCAGTCAAGATGCAAACAAATACATCTGGGATAAAACACTCCACAAAACAATGACAAGTATTTCAATTTTGCCTTGTAAAATAACTGCCAAAAGGGATATAGACTAATTCTATCCTAATTGAAAGCTTAATAATGTCAAGAAAGGAATAAAAAAAAGGTTCAATGAGGTATCTGGACAAAGAATCATACCCCTTAAGTAGTGCATAGTATACCAGTATTGTAAAAAAATACCTTGCTTCAAAAAACCCAGCACTCTAACAGGGACAGAACCGAGCCCTGACAGTCACAGCCTCTGCCTACTGTCAGTTTGAACTCCACAGGGACCCAAAATTTGGATTTTGCTTTCAGATTAATTATGGTTCCATTTATTACAGATTACTCATCCTTATAAGTAATTTAAGTATAAAATAATCAGCACACATCAGAACTGTAAACCCTGGTGGGAATTAAAGGAAGAAAAGAATACTGCCTCCCTTATTTTTCCTTCTAAGTAAACCAGCAATATCAAAGGCTATTTCAGTGATGACCCTCTAAATTTTTTTTTCGGTTACTTGTTGTCTGTCTGGCATCTCAGAAGCATGTGCTTTTTACATGCATAGGATAATTTTTTTTTTTAACTCCCTCCTCCCCTCTAATTTTACTTTGGAATTTTAAGACTGTTGTTTTCAGTATTGTGTGTTTTCTCCTTGGTGGGAAAGGACTGCTTAGAAAATCTTTATGGTCACATTCTGTCAAACAATCATTATTCCAAGTTCAAGAAAGGACATCAGTATCATGAAAGCATTTGGTGCCAGGTGGCACTGGTGATGGACTGTTAAATTTTGAAACAAATTTCTACCCTTCCTCAACCCCATTAACTAATACAAACTTTTGGCACTACTTTAGCAGTTCATTTTGGCACTTACACACGCTGATCTAAGGCAGGAATGGAACGAGTAGTGGTCAAGAAAACAGAAACCTAGCAAATTCCCTTTCTTTAAGAAAATCACTACAGTGTAGGATACTTGAGGAGTGTCAGCAACCCAGAATGTCACTGCCTCTGGTTAAGATATGACTGAGTTACGACAAGGCTGAAAGCACATGTAGAGTGGTTTGAGATGCTGCACTAGGTGCTCAGCTCTCAGTTTCTTGTGGTTTTGTAAGGCTCCTGAAATGCAACTCAAACTTCCTGTGGCTGCAGGACACTTACGTGGGCACTTCTTGACGCAAAAAGCCCCATAGGTGTACTTGGCATTGTGATTATGCTCCAGTTGGAAGGTGGTAGGATTGTACACAAAAGTCTGGGGGCACTGCGTGACACAGGCACCACTATCATTGAAATTCATACAGGCCTGCAAAACAAGGGAGGAAAATAAAATTAAATCAAATTACATCACATAGCTGCTTTGGGTGGTGGTGGGATCTTTTTGTGGTTTTTTTTTTTTTATTTATTTTTTTAGTTTAAAAGACAGTCTTGATTGTTCAGGCTTGCTGCAACACTGAGGAATGTGATATATAGTTTTCTAACGTTTTTGGCTACTTCGATTTCTTGCTAGGATCTTGGCAAACACAGGACCTATAAAAGGGACTCACTGAGACCCCTTAATTTGAAACATAGCTGACTTTTACAGCACTTCCTACAGAAACATAACAACACTGTAATTTGTTTCGTAACTAGTGTTGCTACTTAGCAATCAATTAATTCACAACTCGATAGGACATGCTGAAACTGCCAAGAGTGAACAGCTATTTATCATAGTCTAAAGAAATGCTAATGACTTTTTCAGAACTCCAGCCTTTAGATTTCTTACAGCATGAGTCCATCCTCCATCTGAAAACTGAAATTCCCAATTAGAGAGAGGGATAAGAACTTCTTTTGAGCTGGCACAGGAGGGGGTCATTTCCCTAAGTGGCAAGCTTAACAAGGTCAGTTGCTTCACACACTGAGAAAAGAAAATAGGACTTTGTATCACTTAGCATTCAAGCTCAGCCACCCACAGCTGACAGAGGACAGGGCCTGACAAATGAAGAGGCAAGTGTGTGGATAAAGAAAGTAATGGTATGCAGGGAAAATAATTGACCATGCAAGGCTGATAATTAGTAATAGAAAACCCCACCGATTCTGACATAGCTTAGCACCACATGTTGTGTCTATGGTTTTAACCACAGTTTATAAAAACTCTTGGATTAATATTCACAAAGCATACAAGAAACATCAAATTTCCTATCAATATGGGAGCTGTAGCCTGACTTGGATCCCTCTAACAGTTTTAGCAGCCACTGCTACTGGATTATTCTTCTCACTAACCTATCTTCCAGAAGTCAGGTTGCCTTTGAAGTGTCCCCTCCCCTCCCAGGCTGGGACCGAGAGAAAGGTGAAGCAGATTCCTTTTGTTCAGCTGCTTTTTCGGACAGTCTATCTCCCCTCAGATCAGGACTAGCAGGACTGAGGGAGACAACTTGTCCTGTCAGAAGACTTCAGGAGGAGAGGCTAGCAATGTAACCAAGGGAGAAGGACAAAACCTGCTGCTGGAAAGGACAAACTGGAAGTTCCATGGTGAAGAGACTGTCCCATGTGGACCACAAGCTAAGCCAAGCTGCTGAGCCTGTCTCTTCTGCTTATTTAAAGTGGGTATTACAAAAAATGTCATGTTTGCACAGAACCTTTTTTTTTTTTTCTCCTTACCAAGATAAATACAGTCCCTTACTTCTTCACCAAGAACTGGACGGGAAGTTCACCCTAATAATATAGTTATGTCATTTTTCTGGTTCCACTGTGCACTCAACCAGACACTCCTATGTGTCTCAAGTTTTAGACCCAGTTTGGTTTTGAATGCAAGATAAGAAGTTTCTAAAACTTTGGTTGAGCACATTTGCTTGCAGTTAAGTCAGATGATGATTATTGTCCTGCTTCTAGAACAGAATATGCAAATGTTTGTAAGGCAGCATATGGAGAAGGATGGATGAATTTTATCTAGAAATATTAAACCCATATTTACAACAGGATGCTGTTGCAAACTGCCATAGTATGTGCTAAAGTATTTGTAATGCTTCATAAACTGTACTTTTGCTTATTAATAAATACTAATTTTGTTTGCTTCCTCAACAATTTTCACATCCGCTGCTGACTTAAAAAGTACTCTATCATGCACGTGACCATCCTCTGGTAACAGTCTAGCAAATTCATAAAGGAAACCACACCAATACTCTTTGGAGAGATGGTACTTGTCAGGAAAAGTTCAACATTTGGGAACTTTGAATTTATGACTGCAATTCTTTGTAGACGTTTGTAATTGCTTTGATAATACATGCAAATTTCTAGCATTTAGTGCTAAACGCTGCTAATTTGTGAATGAAAGCACAAGAAAATACACAGGGAAAAAACAAAGTTCTGTATCTCAGCTGCAAGGGAAGCACAGTTGTCTATAGCCTAAAGGGTTATACTTTTCACCCAGTGTGTACTATGCGAGTAATGACTAGTCCTGAAAATTGCCAGACCCCTGCTGAATTACTTTTACATTGCTTTTGGACCAGGAAGGAATGAGAATAAAGCCCTGGGTGCTTCTCTGCTGGATCAGGACAAACACTCCGGTTACATTTTAGCATATGTATTTCCATAACTGCCATAATTCAGAAAGTCTAACTCCTTTTCTTTCAGGCTACAGCATTACAGAACTTACACTGCGAATAACTTGTCCTTAACCTTTGAAAATAGACATGCATCAACACATCAACTTTGAGGATGTCACTCAAATGTTCCTCAACAGTCATACAGGAATAAAAACTGCACTTTTCCTCTTTCCTTAACCTATTTAGATTGTACATGACATGGAAAAGAATGTTATCTTCCCATCTCTCTAGTTCAAAGCCAAGAGAGAACTTTCAGTGAGTGCTGGATCAGGTGTATCATGCATGCTGAACTCCTGCTTGTGTAAAACCCCAGCCACAAAGAACAGCTTTAGCAAAAGCAGTTCACAGTTCAGTCAGGTCACCACTGCATCTCAGCAGCAGCGAAAGAACAGCATTCAGAAGGTGTTTCTGAAGCACAACAACCACCACTATTGAACGGTATCTGAACAGTGAGCACGTTTCAGGTCTAGGCAGGGGAATATTCGTTTTGGCTGGTTCATTATGATCCACTTGTCTGTGCTATCAAAACATCTGCAATTTTCCATACCATAAGATCCCTCCTCCCAATCCTATCTGGAAGATTTTAAAAGGAGCCTACCCAGTCTTGTAGATATTTGTGTCTTCAATCACTTGGGTACTTTTGAAAGTCCACCTCTCTGTGCATGTTCTAGTCCTAGGCTTCTTTAGGCCCAGGTTGGCTTTCCCTGAAACCATGAGCAAAACCTGTCTCTGCAACCCAGTGTGATGAGGTACACAGTTTTTGAGATCGGTGTTGGGTTCTGAAGCTGCTAACACTATTATAAACAATGGACTATGAACAAGACAAACCTGTCTAAAGGCCTGTATGTTGTGATTGTCTATTTTTTTAAAGGAAAAAGTTAGTCTATTCCTCTTTTCATCTTAAGCACACACACTACTACGCATACGTGATGCAGAGTATTTTGGGAACCACTTCCCTTCCACCTCCACTAAGAAGAAAGTCCAGTAAAAAAGCTGAACTTAAATCAAGTCTGGCAGTAACAGGGAGCACCTTTCACAGAGAAACTAAATTGTATTCTTGACTTTCATATTTAAAGCACATAGAGCGGCAATAAAAGCCATAGTGAAATGTAATGATAAATACTTCTAAAATTTCCCTATTGCCTCTAAAAGTTAATTTCAGAAAAGCAAAAGAGAAAAATCACAGAGATTAGCATATTAATAGTTCTCAATCTGTATTTACAAATCTCATAAATCTGTTAATGGGTAATATTAAGTAGATAAGTTATGTTAATGTAACGTGAAAAATATTAAATGCTAAAATTTGCAGCTTAAATCTGGGGGTGTGCATGCGATACATTAAAAAGGACAAAACCGTGAATTTCATGGATTAAAGCATGAAGAATCTGCAGCGTGACTGGCGGGAAGAAGAGAAGTGAGAGGTCTCAGACGTACGAAGCAGTCGGTGTCTTTGGGTCCGGAGCAGCCTCCGGCGCACTCCCGGTGGCAGCAGTCGCTGACGTAGGGCCCGTAGCACCGCCCGTCGCACTGCTCCGCGCACACCGTCTTCGTCACTGGCAGGGGCAGGAAAAAACGGCATGTCAGAGTGGCAACTAAGGAGAGAGCTCTTCGACTGCACACTGAGGAAAACAACAAACCCAACAGCACGCCGAAAAAAACTCAGGTTTTAAGGTAATTGCCTCAGTGGTGCTGTCCGCTTGTGTCCTCCAGAACAGCTTCACAGCACCCTCTTTAGGAACACACATGTTGCCTGGGGACTGCAGAGGAAGAATTTTTAAAGTGTTTGCTCTTACCCTTGGAAATTTAGGTGGAATATTATTTTCAAATTATTAGTTTTTGTAAACAGATGATGGAAGGTTATGAAACATACCCCATCCCACTACAAATAACACAAGAGACCAGAAGCTCCATGTGAGTTTCCCCCCCAAAAAACAGCAACACCAAGTATATGAGTGAAATTCAGAGTGAGGCCAGCACCCTCAGAGCCAAATGCTGTTCTTGATGATAACCAAGTTGAAAACAGGCTATGAGAAAACAGAATAGAATACAATCTGTGGAACAAAACACTTTTGGAAATACAATTTACCTTTTCTACATAACCTAATCCTACATTCTACTCTATTCTACCAACTGAAAAATACAGTGATTTGAGTGGATCCACATTACTGTAACACAGGGCTTAGTTTCATGCAACAAATGGTCAACAAGTGGAGCATCTTCCTCCCCTCGCTTGGCTATAGCCTCTATCTTTATTTTATGGAAAAAGAAGTTAGTATTATCTGTAGGACTATACCAACCACTACCTAGAGAATGCCAGGAAGCTGTACTGTCAGCTGTGTTTTGAGAAAAGCACGGATATTACACTTCTGTAACTAACGTTTACAACTTGTTTTGTTAAAAGCATTTAATTACTCCTTTATGAAAAGCACTTTTCAAGAAGCCAGTAAATGTAAAATCCCATCCAACTTTCTGCTCAATTCTACTATTTAATGTATTAGTGAGTCTTTTTTAAGCACTTTCCTATCCAAATTTCCTCCACTACTTGCCAGAAATACTAAAGGTAAGTCTTGATATACACAGTATTTATTTAGGACATAAAAATGTAAATTACCAAAGAAAAGTCATAATTTATAATCTACGGAATAAAGCAATGCATTTTTAGAATAATTTGATCTTGCTGACACCAGAGGCAAACCCCCAGACAGAAAACACTTTCGTGCCTTATGCAATCTAATTTAAGAAATAAGGAAAATTTCTGTAAATGCACTTGCTGTCAGCACTGATAGAGAAACAGGATTTGTTTATTTAAGTAACAATATTGATAAACACCAGGGCAGACATCTAAAGCAGTGGCATATCTTAGGCAAAACAGAGTTCCCAGTACGCCGCCACCACACCACTAGCTGCCAGGGACAGTCTCATCTCATGAAAACCAGTGAAGACTCCATGGAGTTGGTGATGTTGTTTTCTGCCAGTTCAGAAATTGTCAAGGAGACACCATCCACATGCTCTGCCTCTCTTTTACATAACGACCACCCATGACCCTGCTTACCTCTCTTTAACATGACCTCTCCTCTGCCCCCTTGCCGCCCTTCCGCCTGGCGCTATGCCTAAAATGGCTGCCAACCCCCCCGCATGCTCTGTGTGCCTCTGCCCACCCCATGGCATGCCCTCCTGGAAGGTTCTGAGGGCAGAGGGCACGGTGCCTGGGTTTCCTCACAGCACGTCCCTGCCCAGCACAGCCTAAAAACCTACAGCACGCTTGCAGAGTATTCCCTTTTTTTCCTTCTCTTTTAAAAAAAAAAATATTTTTTTTCTTCAGTTTCTAGAAGCAGAGGGCCAGGGAGCCAAATTTCAGGTG